GTATTACGATGTACGCACTCGTGTCAGGCCCTATGAAGAACAAACGAGATAAGCAATAAACGAAATGAACTCCCTTTTTATTTCTCAGATAGGAATATCGCACATTCGATATTTACCAAGTTTTATTGAAATTTCGCCAATCGCCCATGTCGCATTGTTACACACCGATATGAATTGCGGGTGTAAATTTTGTCCAAGTATAGGCATAAATTCCGCTGCACGTCAAGATAAAATTTAGATTTAGAATGACATATAGATATATCTCTAATAAATATAATACTGTCCAGTGATACTTACGTATACAGGGGAGCACGTGTTGGAAGCAAGCTTTCGTAAGATCTCCTAATAAAGCGAAGCTACTCTGTCTAACCTCGGGCATGGTGTCTTGCATACATTGATATAACAATTGCATTACGTTGCTGTTCATTACTAGACGTTCCATATGGCCATCCAGTCCTTCTGCTAATCCACTGAGGAGATCTAATGCGACTATCATAAAGTCTTTATCAGGTGCCTCAAATTGCTCTGGACTTTGCGTACTTGCTATATGTTGATTTAATGTTTGTTCTACAAGTGACACGCATCGCCTGCAAACCAGTTTTTATGAATTTGTAATATACTAATGAATGATTTATAATAAATTAGAACGATAGTACACAAAATATAATTTATTATTATACTTATTATTATTAATGTATTTATTTCTACCAATATAAATTAACTTTAACTTTCTCGGTTTAACTTGTTTTTTATCATTTTGTAATTTTTAAGAATTAGAAAAAAAAACAGAAAATAAATTAAACCGAAACTAAAATAGACGTTGATAGAAATGGATTATTGGTCTAAAGGTAAAACAGTTACATTACTCGTCATGTACATACCTATACACGGGCTCACAATACGGTAAAAAACCCGAACGTAAAGCTGTCGCTACTGAAGAAAGACATTCCAACAATGGAAAAAGATCTTTATCTTCGTCTTTCAACACATTCCATTTATTAATAAGAGGTGGCATTAGAAGATTGATGTAGTCCGGTCTGTTCAGATGATGACCCACAGAATCAGCGAGAGTGCCAATCGCGTCGTACAGAATTAAAAGATTTTTATGTTGATATTTGCCTATGAACAGTCGCCATTGATTAAAACGATATCCTCTAAATCAAGGCGGACTAATCATTTCATGCTGTCATAAACTCACTAAAAGCGAAAACAAGTGTCTCGAGAATAAATCCGAGATAAGGGACCAATTCAGTGCATGCCTCTTCCTCCAAGGTGGCGAAGGCGGAGCACGCTGCCTCTTGAACACGTTTGTTACTGTCGAGCACTCTTTTCAATAGTTCAGTCATCAAGGGTTTTAAATGCGTCTCATGAGGCTGTGCACAAACCCAATGCGCATAACGACTCAATGTCCAACAAGTTATAGCACGCACTAGAGCCTTCTTGTCACTCAGGCAACTGATCAAGTAAGGGATAAGTTCTGACAGATGCGGAATCATGCCACTCATACAACCTGCAAACAAATCAAAACTCGCTCGATCAAATGTTGCTAATTATATTCTTGTTATTTATCCAAATATTTTAACAATAATGTATACCTTCAGCGATAGCTCCCAATGCCAAAATACCAGATTCTTTGATCTCCCAAGACTGATGGAAAAGAGTCTCCTTTAGGATCGGTACCAAAACTGGTAGAAGTTCCTCTCTGAAAACATTAGCCAACATATCTAGCGCGGCAGCAGAACATTTCCTCAAATTCCAATCGCTCAAAGTTGAATCGTCATCACATCCATCTTCAACGTCTACATCATCGTCATCGCATCCACCGTTCACACCGCCGTTTTCATCGACGGCATGTCTGCCCATGCCGTTAGCGTGATGTGAATGATGCGTCTTGGATTTATGAAAACGCGGTCGGATATCCTCCTCTCTGTCTGGAATCATTTCATCCTCCTCCACATCCCCTTTGAGGAGGATTATGTCAATTTCCGAATATTTCATACCTTTCACCTATAAAAGACAAAAAAAGAAAGAATATTAAGAATAGAGTACAACGACAAAGCGATCATTTTGTTGTGATTCATTGGAGATTTACCAAGATAGGTACTAATCGTGTCAGGTGTGGTGCGAGTGCCTCTTTGCAAATTGGTTGTTCCGTTAGCGATAACCAAAACTCGCACGCTTCCAATGCTACTCCTTCGTCAACATCTTGAGTTCTCAACAGCATATACTCTATTATATTGTGCATATGTGGAATTAGTCTGTCCATTCTTACTTCGAGCAACATTACCAGCGCTCTATGCAAAAAAAACGTGAAAGATTTAAAAAAATGTTCTTATGCATCTTCCTATTAATTTTTTTTTTGTAATAAGTCATCAACTACCTGCACACATTTTTTCGGACCTCGGAATCATCGTCCGAGGCTAAATGGAAGAGATTTTCCAAAAAGCTGTCTATATGTATCATGAGCGCTTGTGTACGTTGAATGATGAACTGATTGACGCATGCTATTGCGTGAGATCTGATTTTGGGACTCGAATGTCTAAAGAATTGAAGGAACTTTGGAATTAGAATATTTAAGGGCCGATTTAAGGCGTCCGAATCTAATATCTCTGCTGAATCTTCGCAAATCTTCTGAAGTGCGCCAAACGCGCCCTCACAAACATTGTAATCTTGAGAATCCAACATTTGACACAATGCTGGCAACAATTCCGGCCAAGTTGTTAATTCACCTATTCGCAGATATATTTCAACCGTCAAAAAAACTCATACAATGCATATTCCTTTATTACATCTTGGAATATGTTAAACAATGTACCTCTTGATGCGACAGTAGTAATCAAAATACCGACGGTCGCACGAATCAGTGGCGATGGATCTCCGACAGCTGAGAGACATTCTTGCTTTACAAAATTTATGACCTCTGGTAAAAACTTATGAAAGTACGTCTTCACATTATTTTTTAATATTAGTCCACTCAGAGACCTCGTAGGTTCATCTTAACAGAAAGAAAATTATTAGTTTCTGTTTAATGCTCCTGGGGTAATTCATAAATATGAGAAAAGAAACCATTTTCCATGCAATCGTTATACTCAAAACATACCTTCTGATGTTAATTTTGTCAGAACAAAAATTAGATAGTTGTTGAAATCTGGAAATTTGTTCAACTCTTCCAATTTCTATTTTCAAATTAAACGATTAAGAAAAATATGCAGAGCTATTTAAAAATGTAAATAAGAGAAATAAAATGTATATACATATATAATATATATATAAATATATATTTATATATATATATATATATATACATACACACACAGCACACACACGATATATGTATATATACACAAATATGAAAGTTTCACATTTATATTTTATAAAGTCGATATATTTCTAAAGCACAATCATAAAGATAAACAGTTAAATGATATTGTATGATTCAGCAGGACTACAATTCAAGCGCGGACGATTCGTTTATATGCGTCCGAGGACTCGTCCGGCGAGGACTCCCGCGAAAACTATCGATCAGGAACCGCGCGCTGGGAAAACAAGCCCCGCGCGCGCCAGCGAGCGAGCGAGCGAGCGAGCGAGCGAGCTGGAATCCCCGCTCGGCTCCGCTCCGGCCGGGGCGTGTGTCGTTAGCATATTTCCAGCTCGGCGACCGAGACGCGGGACCGGGCACGCTCGATCTTGCATGGCGAGTCCCGCACGGTGACGAGGAACGAGCAAACGATCGTCGCAGATTCGCAACGCTATCGCGATCGGGCGAGAACGAAAGAGAAAGAGAGCCAGGCAGGCAGGCAAGCACGCACACACACGCACACACACGCACACACACACACCCACACGCGCGCGCGCGCGCGCACGCCCTTGCTCTCTCTTGCTCGAGCAATCTCGACATGGTTGCGGAGATCGCGTTCGCGCGTAATTAATATTTCGGATCGTTTCCGGTCGAGGAAACGGGCGAACGCCATGCCGGGAAAACGAGCGCGACGATGTATGAATGAACAGACGGATGAGAAGAGTAAACGACGTGCGATCGCGTGTACGCCGCGTCCTTTTTTTTTTCCACGAGACCGTATGAGCGAGCGGCGACACACATCACACGCGACGACACAACAACGGCGGCGGTAACGACGACGGGCACAGGATACCAAAGATCCATATATCTCGAGCGAGTGAAAGGATACTTGTTGTACGGCACGCTGGGTCGCCGTATCCGGGCTCTGCGACTCCTTAAGCAGCGTCAGGATTTGCCTGAGTCCTTCCTCCTGTGGTTGCCACGCCATTTTCATCGTGTTTTCCAACAGCACCACTGTAACGCGCAGCCAGCCTTCTCTGACCTCGCAGATAAACGGAAGCTCCCTACAGCGCTCTCTCGCTCTTTCTCTCTGCGAGCTCGGGCCAGGACCGTGATTGCGCGAGGAGGCGCCACGCCCTTCGTTCGCGCCTGGTCTTGCAGTGAAGGGAAGAAAAGGATTCCCGCGTGTCTGCTCCGATGGATTCCGTTCCCGACTCGTTCAGGGAAACTCAATGAAAAAAAACCGGTTCCCGAAACTAGAATTCCTGCTGTAACTCGTCCACCGGAGAGTTGCTTTTCTCCCCGGGAATCTCTCGCGCATCCCGCGCGTGGGAACAGCGATCGCAGAGGATGACCGCCGCGAGCAATGTTGTTAGATGAGTCGCGTTTTCGCGCACGCGCATTCGAGTATCGTGGCATCAATGTTGCATTAATATCGAATTTACAAAAGTTCTGTAGACGCTCGACTTTTGACATTTCTACAAAAATCTTGTCAAAAAATTAATCAGAAGAATTAATCAAAATTGATGATAGCAGCATCATCCTTCTAATCATCATTGCGCATTGTTACATATCATCTTAATATTTCAGACGATTTAATCTTTCCCTGTTACGAGTCAAAATTACAAATGTCATATATACGCCACTGAACTTCTCTATCGTTGCAGCGCGCATGCGTGAGACAGTGACTCGACCAACAACACCAACCGCGAGACGAGAGGATTTGAAGACGGAATCCCAGTTCGAACTTCCGGTGTCGCGCGGATCGGCGCGGGAAAACGCGCCTTGCGCGACGATGAAAACGCGGCGATCGATCTAAGGCGATCGTCCTTGCCCGCTGGCACGTGGACGTTGAAAATCATTGGATTAAGCAACAATGGACACGTCACCCCGGAACGATAACCGGACTCTCAACTTGAGCTAATCTCCGATTAACTTAATTGATATCTATTTCCAGCAATTCCAGTTTTAATCTTGATTTAACTTACTTTTTACTTAATTCTAAGTATTAAAATTAATTAAATCGCCCTCGGATGAATAAAATTAGACTGTATCAAGTGAAACGCAACTTTTTATTCGCAAGTATAAAAGTCCCGCTAGCGCGTACAAAATGACGGTAAAAAAGAAACGCAGTGACAACTGCATTTTTTTTAACGTGGGCGAGGATCGACCAGCCGCCAATAATGCTAAGTATTGTAAAGCAAAAACGCGAGCATTTGTCTCGGAAAATGTGTCGGTTACACGCGATCTTAAAAAAGGAAAAAAAAAAAGAAAAGAAAAAAGAAAAAACCAGAAATGAATATCTCGATAAAACCTCGCAAGAAAATCACTAAATAGGAGAGAATGAACTCTAAACTTAAACGAATGCCTTATAGATATGTACATTTAATACGATCGCACGTCATGTTACTGCCGCGCTTTAATCATTAGATTCTTACAAAAGCGGGTAACGCCCACTCGCGGTGTTGCACACTTAAAAACTTAAAACTAACAATTAATGATATTCAACTAGAATTAATTGATCGTTACGATCTATCATGATTTGTACTGTCGTGTTATTGCGAATAACTCTCCTTTTTCTTCATCTGACCTCCAAGATTTTCTACCAAGTTACGAAACTGTGCTATTTGCCAATCTTTCTTATGTCTCACTCTTAAGTGATCTCTCGCACTGTCGAACAAGAGATATGTACGAAATTGCTTATTTTTTTTTTTTTTCGTTCTAAGGTGCTTTACTTTGGGTAACTGCTATTGCAAGGCCATGTAGTGAAAATATTTATATATAGGCAATATTGTAGAACACACTATCAGGCCGACACTCGTGAATAATCGTGTTCCTGCTTGGCCTGGTATCAATCATGTAATCTTCTTGATCAGTATAAATTATCAACGTCAATGAATATATATATATACATACAGCGCTCAACGCGTTTAACGGCGACGGAAATAGCTTCTGCCGCGTATACATTAAATATCAGTGCGTATATATAGCGTTTCAATCGCGTCGCTGAAAATCTATTACAAAATCTATTACAAAAGCATTAAATAATCGCGATCTATTCACAGTTATAATTACAGATACTGCGGCAAATCGGGCCAATTGTTACGTTTATTATTAACGGTAATCGAAGGCACGTATTGAAGAGTTGTGGCTCGTTCTCGCTATTGCTCGAACGATCTCGCGAATGTTTTGTGAAGAGAAACCCTTGCGTGAGCAATTCCTATGCTGGTCTTCCATGAACACGAAATCTATATAAACACGTATAGTCCAGCTGCCCGTGATTACTGTGTATTCTCAATTCTACATATTCGTATGGCTTATTAATTTCTGTGTTCTGTGTAAAAAAAACGATTATTACAATCCTAATAGATTTAAAGATCATGTAATAATAATTCACAATATGACAAAAAAAGGAAAAAATTATATTGAGTCTTATTTAATTCTTCTTTATATAATGGAAACGGTTGTATATCTTCTAAACTTGGTATCAAAAAAAATGTCCAAGTTTAGGAGATAAAGAAAATAGCTGTTAAAATGGAACATCTCTATATATATACATTTTTTTTTAAACCATATAATTAGAGTATAGGTTTATTTTGAAAGGAAATTTACCTGGACTGGAAAATATTGCAAATTTTCATCGGAATTTACGAATTCGTAGTCACCAAACATCACAGGCTCGAAATCATTCTCATTCGTCAATCCCTACGAGAGAGTAAGAATATAAAAAAGATATTATAATATTTGTAATATCCCACGTAATGTACAAAATTGATTTTTTCACATACCCAGACATCGAATTTCTTGGGTGCACTCGACATGTTCTCGTTTGGTAAAATTGATCTGGGAACGTGCTCCAGAGTGAAACCAGTTACATAAATAATATTTCGCAATTGTATCAGAAGATATCCGGGAAAATCTTGGAAGGCCCAACAAATGCCAGGTTGCATCGGATTACCTTGTATTACAGTTCGCGGGTTATTGCTTTCGTAATACAATGTAAAACCGAGTAAACTGAAGGCTCTCGACTTTATATCATATCGCTGAGTGCATCGCGTACTGACAATCTGACCTCCTATACAAAAATACAAAACTGTTTATTATAATATCCTTCATGATTAGCTATTATCAATTTATACTGGCATAAATACAATACCTGCTGATTCCAAAGCGTAATCTACTTGACCCGTTTTATCTGCATCGTATATTTGCAGAACTTCCTTCACTATCTTGCGTATATGTTCATCCGACATGTGACCGTTTGAATCGTCGGTATTTATAGCATTAAGGGCCGCGTGATCTATTAAAATATTCATAATATTCTCAACATTAACAACAAATGACGTAACAGTTTAAAAGCTATTAAATATTCAATCCTATTAAATATATTTTCAAACCTTTTCTATTATGAAATACAAATAAATTCTGCATGGTTTTTGCCAAATCTTCTTTCGAAATCCCATGAGGAAAGTAGCTAAGTAAAATTCTTTCCACATGCTTTTCTATATTCTGATCAGAGACGGATTCTGCATTGGCATTACAACAAGATTTTAATTCGGCATATAGCTCGCGAATTCTCTCAAAGTCGTCTTTAATAACTTTCAATTCATTGTGTGCTATATTTGTTAATTCATTGATATCTAATTTATTTTCTATGTCAATAATTTTATCCTGAAAGAATAATATAAATTAAAACTCCAGATCTTAATAATTATTAATTCTTAAGTAGTAATATAAATTAGACTTACATTATACTCTTTTCGAGAATCGACATCATCTTGTTTAAGCTCTTCTACAATCCGAGTGATATTTATAAGATGTTCCTGCAAAATATTAATTAATACAATAACTAGATTACAAAAGATGCAAGTTCATAATTTATAAAGAAATTTAAATCTATACCATTTGATGTGTCTGTTTAGTCTCAAGCATTTCTATCCTGTTGACCAAGTTAGCTATGCTAATGAAATCTTCCTTGAGCATTTTGTTACTAATTATTTCTTCAATTTTATTCTTATATTCCTCCTGTTGCATATTAGGTACTAACTTTTGTATTGTTGTGTTGGACAAAGTTTTAAAAACAGAAAGATGTGTGAAATATTGTGCTATGCACCAACCACCTGAAATAAATTCCCTAAATTTTATTTTATAATTCAAATAATTGTCATAATGATTGTCTCCTTCTCCTGTTACTGTATTGAACTATTGTTCCAATACAAAATTAGTGCCACATAACTGTTCAACTATTAAATTTAGTATCACAAGAATTTCAGATTTCACATTTTCACATTAAATTTCGATGGCACAGAACAATTACAATGGATTGTAGTTGTTCTAAATGGAATCATTATACAATATGGTAACTGAGAGAAGGATAGACGAAGAAACTCACCGTTCCGATGATATCGATCGCGATCACAATTCCAAGTTTTTCAAGCACAACACACTTCCATTTTTTAACGCCCAGTAGAGTAATCCTCTGCCTATCCTTCTCCCGTCATAAAATTTTTATTTTTCGTTTTTTATATTCGATTCATAAAACGCTAAATTGTGACACTATGACGCTATATCACTCTAACGGATTGTGTTCAAAAGATTAATAATATCGTATATGTGAAAAATATTTTATTATGTATGAACGTGCTTTCTTACAGTATAAATATATATCATCTAACAGTACTTGTTACATCAAATTATATATTGTTATATTTGCATGTAAAACAAAAACAATACATGTGGTGATTAACTGAAAAATGTTAGATTTTATTTCATTCAATAACGATTAAGTATATATTATGCAATCTATCTTGTATATAGAATTAAATATTAAAAAAACACATAGAATATATATAATTGATAAC